CTCATGTACTCATTGTTGAGTAATGTCTTAACTGATTGCACATCTATGGAATTCATTTTCTGATTTTGTAGAGAGAGAGAGAGAGAGAGAGAGAGAGAGAGAGAGAGAGAGAGAGAGAGAGAGAGAGAGAGAGAGAGAGAGAGAGAGAGAGAGAGAGAGAGAGGAAAACAGCTTTTTAACCCAATGCCGATGGGCATGACGTGTACGTATGTGCCATGCCCATTGTGAGTTAATTGTTTGATTGTGTTTACACATAGATGGCTACACTTGTACTAAGTCACCAATGAGCCAGTTATGAGTACTGCCTGTCTTACCCGTTTACCCTTTTCTTTGATATACAAAAATATTTGACATTATCTTATTTTGCTGTTACTAATGTTTAAAACATTATAATAATTATAATGTTTATTATAAAAATGACATCATCGATATTCATAGCACAAGTAAAAAATACATTTTTCCCACCAATTCAAATCAGGTAAGGTCACAAGGTCTACTTGACTCCTTTGTGGCTAAGCACTAGCAAAGCCATCTATGTGCAGAGACATTTCACAAAAAATATAGCATATTTTTTTAATTAATTTTCACCAGCGGCATGGGGTTAATTCTGTTTTAGAACTTGGCATGTATCTTGTGGAAGTGAATTTTCACTTTTTTATTTGACTGGATTAGCATGCTTGTTAGTTTTTTTTTTTTCATAATTATTTATAATTATATTTGTAATTGTGGTAATTTTTATTTTTACAATGTAAGGGTAATGCATTATGTGTAATATATATGGTTCTCTAACCATCATTGTAGTGACATAGAAGTAAAATGTGCATTCATGTTCGACATGAATTCCACACAAAGTAAGATGTAAATATAGTAAATTCAGACCTGTAGTAAACTAACTAACTTGTGTATTTTAAGATGTTCATTTAGAATTAGATAGCATGAATTGATATAATGAATTACCTAACTCAGTTTTGTATTTAGTCTCTGTAATCTTTCATTTGATAGAACACTGACATTTGTTGCTTCCAAGATATTTTATTTTTATTTAGTGTAAAACACTAAGGTTCTAGGTGAATTTGGTAAGAAATGGTAATAGTGAAAGGGATTTTTGTTTGTTGTGTTACATATTTACTTTATTAGTAAATGTGTAACTGAATATACAGGATTTCCCATTGCTCATGAGTCACAGTAATTTAGCCATTTACTCTTCTATATAGATAATGAGTAATACTTTATATTGATAATGATTATGGGAAAGATCACCTACTGTGAGGTCTGTGAAAACGTATTGAATATTTGATAACTTTGTCTATTTAAAGTCATTATTATATTGTTACTGTAGCACAGTCTTGTACAATGAAAATTAATAATCTTTCATGGAAAAAAGGATTCATAAGCCTATAGTTTTAAATTATGGTATCTATTTCTAACTCATATACCATGACAATATAGATGTTTAGAAGATAACTGAATAAAGGAATAAGAGGCAGTAGGATGATTATCATATCACACATAGAGGTGAAGATGACGTACAAGGGTGAAGAAACCTTAATGCATTCCCTCGCAGGAGCGCTTTGCTCTGCCGCCTCAGTGAGGTGAATGACTTCTTGGTCATCATTCCAACAGACAAAAAGAGAGGCCACTGCCAGTGACTCAGAGGAAGATCTCTCAAGGGCAACAGTCGTGCACTGCAGTTCCCGAAAAGTATCACCAGGACCAAAAGTGATTAGAGCTTGATAGCTTTAGGGTTTTGGAGTTACTTGACAAATAGCTTGTATAGTGTGTGCGTTTGTGTGTGTCTGTATGTAGGAGTTTGTTTGGCGATAGTTGCATGCCCCGTGTGCCAGCGTGAAAGTGGGATTGGAGAAACTTACTGTTAATTATATAGTTGACTGTAGTTTTATCTTTTATTGGGAATGTCATCTCAAGGAAACAGTTAAGATTAGTGAGTGATTTATGTAATACATCACTCACAGACTATGACAGCTGTGATAACATGATTCTTTATCCACACTCAGTTGTGCCTGAATTGAAATGGATAACCATCAAAATATAACGATACATTCTTGGGTATTGGAAAATCATTGTAAGAATTGGGAGAATGTGAGGAGGTTTTTCTTTAAGTAGAAGTTTGTGTTTATCCTTATTAGTTGAATGCCTACTAGATTATAGTATACTGAGCTGTTCTAGCTGGCTTTGATATTATACTTATGCCTGTCTAACTTAACGTCACATCACATGCTCTCTTTTATAACAATTCATCAACATAATATGCAGCATATACCAAGTGTAATCCCATGTTTATTTAACTCTCTTTGTTTCCATTTTGCTAGAGCTCACTTCATTACACTTATATTTTATTTTGTTGAATGTTATGCCACATCTCACTTGAACTTGACATATTTCTCCCTGACTTAATATTCCATTTTAAAGCAAGAAGATATGACCTTCAAATTAGTGAATTAACTACACTTAGATATTAAATTGGATGAAGTGATGTAGACAATGAAGTCTTTTGTCATGTTGATATACTTAAGATGGCCTTCATGAAATGGTCATATCTCAACTTTACTTCATGACATGTCTTTGCTGAGGTGCTTTACTAGTTCTGTTATCCTACTTTTGATAATATCCGAATGTCTATCAATTGGATTTCTTTTATAACTGGCTAAGCTGTAACTGAATTTTATTTTTTAAAGTACTTTAACAGTTTTTGGTTTTGTGTGTACGTTAGTCTAATGCCTTTTGATTTTTCTTGTATTGTACAATTTACTCTCTTTCCTTTTTTTTAATATTCTGAACATTTCTCCCAAACCAAGAGTTTAGATAGGTTTGCTGTATTTCCCTCAGCTGCCTGCAGATTGACTCCATTGTTATAACCTCCAACTTTCCTTCCACAGGAGAGTGAAGAGGACCAGAGGGGGCTGGATGAAGGCAGCTCCCCCTCAGAGTCTGAGGAGAGTTCAGTCAACAACACCATCTCTCAGGTTACCTCTGTCCCTGACACTCAGGAGGACTTGAGCCCCTTTCCAAAATGCCTCGAGCAGAAAGGTCAGTGTGCCATTTAGCTTGTGAAGAAGTCTGTGGGGTATGAAGATAGTGGGAGTTGTCATTGGATGGGCTCACTGAAATGGGCAGATTGGGGGGAAACATGATTTTTTTTTTTGTGTGTGTGTGTGTGTGTGTGTGTGTGTGTGTGTGTGTGTGTGTGTGTGTGTGTGTGTGTGTGTGTGTGTGTGTGTGTGTGTGTGTCTGCGTGTGTGTCTGCGTCTGCGTGTGTCTGCGTGTGTGTGTGTGTCTGCGTATGTGTGTATGTGTGTGTCTGTCTGTCTGTGTGTGTCTGTGTGTGTGTTTGTGTCCGTGTTATTTGGTGTATGAGGCAATTACATTTATTTTTTATAAAATAAAGAAAATATGTTCCATTTTCTGTACAGCATTATATATGAAGGTTGTGAAACAGCTATTTTGGTCTGTTCTGAGAATGTATCATACAGTATACATCAGTTTGAAAAAGCAATCTGTACACTATTAGTATACTTCAAGGAACTGTATCTTTGGTTCAATTTTTTTTATTTAAGCTCAAGCAGAGGAGTCAGAATGGAGCGTCATATTTTATGATGGTGTAGATCATGCCAGCTATTCTCAAGCCAATGAAACAGAGGAGAGTGATGATGACGATGACGACGACTGGCTGATGGGCAGCTTAGGGTTTGTAGTTTTAACCTTTTTTTTTCTTTTTTTTACTGACATAAAGTGATTTAGATTTTTATCCTTTTGATTTTCTTTGGCTTTTATGGTATGGGTACATATGTAAAACTCGGTATTGCTTTTATACGTAACTTTTCATTTATTTCTTTGTACAATATTGGTTTTGCATGTAAGGTTTAATTTATTTCCTTGTACAATGTTACTTTTTTGTGTGAGGTTCATCTATGAATTAGTATGTTTCCATAAGCAAATTGAATTATCTTTTTTATGACTTTTATATTTTAGCAGAAAGGTTAGATAAAAGAAGTTGATTTTAACTATTTTTATCTCCTCAAAGAAAAAAAAAAAATCTTCAATCCTTTTTTTATAATACTGTATTGCAGACCAATGTTGCAAGATTCTGATGATGACATGTACGATGATGACAAGATGAAAGATGATGACTTCTCGGACTCGCAAGATTCTGTGATAGAGACGGATAATGTTGACAAGACCGACAGTGCTCACGCCGTCAAGCAGTTCAAGAAGCAGTACCTGTTTATCCAGATGCAGCTTTGTGAGAAGAACACACTGAGGCAAGTCTAGACCCGTGAGGAGGGTGGAGGGCGGCAACAGAAGCGCAAAGGGGATTAGCTTCTATGGGGATTCACAATAATAATAATAATAATAATAATTTAGTTTGATTCCATTTGTTACAATGGATATTCTTGGTGTGACATACTGTCTGTTTTATTTTGCTTCTAAATTATCCCCTGTGTGCAAGGAATGGCCGAGGTTACCATCCACTGGTGGCGAAGGATTCGAACGCAGGTCAGCAAGATTGCTAGACGAGATCGCTACCGCTGCACCACACAGCACACAATGTGGACAAAGGAGTTCAGAAGCCTCTGTGTTTCAAATTCTGAAAGATTGGTGTGCCTAAAACGTTCAAGAAAGATATTTTGCAATTGTTATCATGCAAATGTATTAATCAGATAGATAGATAAATAACTGAGGAAGTTAAGCAGTTGCAGCACCAGAGAGGCTTGAACTCAGAGAGGAATGAACTGTGAAGGGGAGCATAATTAGTCCTGATGTTCATGGTACAAAAAAAATAGCATGGGGAGAGATTGGTTGATTTTCATAATTGGCTCATTAACCCATTGCCGCCGGGGATGGCATGTACGTACATGCCATGCCCACTGTGAGTCAACTTGTTTGATTGTTTATACACATAGATGGCTACACTTGTACTAAGTAACCAATGAGCCAATTATGAGTACTGCCTGTCTCGCCCGTTCACCCTTTTCATTGATTTACGAAAATATTTAACGTTATCCTAATTTGCTGTTAAAAATAACACCATCTATATTTATAGCACTAGTAAGAATACGTTTTTCCCGCCAATTTAAGGAAAGGTGAAATGAGGACTAGCAGAGCCATCTATGGACAGAGATATTTCACAAAAATATAAAAAATGAGTACTGCATTTCCCCCATTTTTTGTTCATTTTCCCCGGCGGCAATGGGTTAACGAAAAAAAGTTGTAAAAATCAGTCCACTCCAGATAATTTAGCAAGGAATTCAGGGCTTATAAATTTTTGTAAATAATGTGATAACAAATGATGAATTTTATGTTTCTTTCAATCAGTGATTCTAATTTGACTGTTAAAAAGTTTAACTTCTACCCTTTAAGCATTTATTTTTAAAAAGAATTGTTTTTTCCTGTGCAACACTGTTATGAAAAATACTCTTCTTGTTACACCAGAATTTTACTATGAATCAGCCAAAAACAAATTAAATGTATTCTAAAATATATAAAAAAAATCAGAATATTGCTTAGAAGAAAAAGTAACTGAATGTCAGCACAGAATATAACAATGTATGTCAAAGCATAAAGAAGTATCTGACCAGATTGTGGTAAGAATGTGCAACATAAGGGACAACTGTAGATAACATTAGAGATTCTAGAACTAATGCACAGAGGAGAAAGAAAGAAAACAAAAGAAAGGAAGAAAGAAAAAAAAGAAAGACAGAAAGAAAGAAAGAAAAAAAAATAGATATCTATATGAAAAGAAAAAAACAAAGGAAACTTTCTGTAATGAGAAAAGGAAATATATGCCTTGAGCAAATTGACGTCTAGAAGGCGAGAAAGGAAAAAAATGAAAGAGGTGCAATCAAACCGTGGTGATGACGCTTTACAAGACTGTACAGTGACAAGTGAAAACAAAAGGGGATTGTCTTAGAAATTTTGCCTGGAGTGATTAGAAATAAGAGGTCACTGTCATAATTAACGAACATGGAAGCAAATATCACTTTGGCTACAGGAGAAAGAAGAAAGGAAGAAAGCATAGAAAAAATAAACATTTTATAGATTACCTTAAATTCTTTTTGGTAAAGGCAACCAAAAAAAAAACATTTACATATTAGGCTAGGATTAGATGCAGCGGTGATTTGTCTGAAGATCTACCTTTTGAAAAACGAGTGTGTGCCGAGATGTGTACTCTCACCAGTCTTGTTAGTTTATATATATTGAATTGTTCAGTAGTTATAGTGAAATGCTCATAGAATAATAGACCATGCCATGTAAAAGTATAAGAACAGTAAGTTGTATAGTCAGTGCAGCAGCAACATCAGTATCACAAATAGATGCACAGAAGATGATGACAAAGATTGATGAAAAATGTAAATGAATGTGATAAAGCCAAAGTAGACTAATTGTAATAAGCAAAAAATAATTAGAGAATGAAATAAAATAAGTACAACACATGCTTTGATAAACACTGGAGCAAGTGAATGAATATGATTACCTTGGCATTGTCTTCGATGCAAGCATTAAGTACATAATTATACAGTTAAGAAGAAACTTTGCATGATAAAGATTAAGAACAGAAAGTATGAGTTTGGCTGAAGAGTAGAAAAAAATTAATTAGATTAATGCAGTTACCACTTAAAGGCTTGGTTGACTATAAATAAAAGAGGTATGCATTGAAGAGTATGGGGAGATTTAAAGAAAAAGGACTCATTTCAACAGAAGATCTGAGAATATAATTTCTTGTGTATCATATATTTTGATGATGTGACCTGTTTGATTTGATTGTTGAAGAGAGAACTTCATTTTTTAAGAAATCATTATAAATGATACAGTTTACTTGTTTGTAATTTGACTGTTTTTCTTTCCCATTTTCCTAAATATAGCTTAAACGGCTTGAGTCAGACTAATGACCTTTTTTTATTATTATTTCATGGAAATAGGCAAGCCATCAACGAACACCTCTGTGTGGATAATGACCGCAAATGGAGGCTGTTTCGGGAGTTGGTCAATGGACTTGACTACATCCACTCCCAGGGTTTAATCCACCGTGACTTAAAGCCTGGCAATATTTTCCTTGACATGGATGATCATGTCAAAATTGGCGACTTTGGTCTGGCCACGGCAGCAATCAAAGCTAAGACTACTGTTGGAGTTATCACCAAGATGGATGTAGACGACACAAAGGACAGTGCCTTGACCAGCCAGATAGGCACCACCCTTTACGTTGCACCAGAAGTCAACAAGTCTAAAGGCAAAGTGAGCTACACGAACAAGGTTGACATCTACAGCCTGGGGGTCATATTCTTTGAGATGGCACACCCCCCTCTGACCACGGGCATGGAGAGAGCCAAGGTCCTCTACAACCTGAGAAAGCCAGAGATTGACATACCAGAAGAGTTCAGTGTGAAGAATGCTAATTCTGTTCTGTTGATCAAGTGGCTTTTACAGCATGATCCGCAGCAGAGGCCTAGTACCAGTGACATCTTGAAATCACACCTGCTACCCCCTCCTACAGCTGAAGAACAAAAGTTCATCCAGACTTTAGAAGACAAGCTGAAGAATGTGAGGTCATCAGACTATCAGGAAATCCTCAACTTAGTCTTCAAACCATATGCACGGCCTGAGTTAGAAGCAACCTTTGAAGTCAGGCACCCTGTCACCTCTGACTATTGGCAGTATTGGAAGCAAGATTATCTGCATTCTCTAGTTACAGCAGTATTTAAAGCACATGGGGGCATATGGGTACCAACAACATTCTATGTACCCAAGGGATCCTTTTACAATGACAAGGACAATCTTGTGTCACTCATGTCTGGGAGAGGGGAGCTTGTGTCTGCTCAGTATGAGCTCAGATACCCATTTGCTCGCTTTCTTGCACGAAATGAGGTTAAGTACATAAGAAGATATTGTATTGACAGAGTCCAGCGTGCTTTTAAAGTCTCAGGCATCCACCCAAAAGAGTCCTATGAATGTGCATTTGACATAGCCTGTCCTAAGAAGGATTCAGTTGAATCTTCAGCAAGAGTCATTCTTGTAGCTCATGACATCATACAACAGATAATCCAGGCAAGAAGTGAGAATGTCTTGGTGCGTGTAGGACATCTGGAGCTGGTTCATGCAATCCTCTTTCACTGTAATGTTGAGGAGAAGTTCCATCCTGAAGTCCTCTGTCTCTTGAAGGTAAAAAAGTGTGACATAGTCAAGTATATTGTGACTAGTATTGTAAAAGGATGTGTGAGGCAGTTCTTTTTGTGGAAAGCCTTTATTACTATGAGAATATTGATTATAACTCATAATCTTTGTCTTTCCCATTTTTCAATACAGAAATTGACAGACCATCGTAAAATATTTCACATTCAGACTGTCAGGTTGTGATATATATTTAGGAAGCTCCTCTCTCTGTTGTTGCACACTAACCATGCTGAAACTTTTTATGGCATGATAGTAGTGGTCTCATATATGTACATGATGTTTCATTGTCAAATCATTTCATTAAAACTGACTTATTTGATCCCTGCAGGAGTACAACTGTAAACGAATAACCTTGGAAAACATGTGGGAGATCTTTCGAGAGATGGGCCTGGCCAGATCTTCCGTTGAGTCTCTCAGAGGATTCCTTTTTCCGGATGGACCCATTGAAGATGTTATGGCATCTCTCATTGCGAAGGGTTTGACTTCCAGGAGAAAAAGTGCACTCAATGTGAAGCAGGTGTTGGCAGAGCTGAATGAGGTTGTGGTCACCTCCAATGTGTTTGGTGTGAAGGTGAGGTTTCTGGGTGAGAAGGTGTTGGTTGCTTATCCTAAGGGAGGGGATGAAGTTCAATTCATGATCATATGTGTCTGATGATAGTTTTAATTTTCAGGGTTGAATGTTCGAGTAGCTTTTTGCATTTTGAGAACATTTCACATTTTTTTAGCTTGAATAACTTCTCTTGTCAGTTTGAGATAAGTCTGTGTCCACTGATGGTTGTAGATGCATCCCTCTACTGCAAATTTATGTGCCAATTTCTGCTGAATGTGCGGAAGAAACACATGCAAACACAGGAACTCTTAGCTCAGGGAGGATCTTATGAAAAGCTTATACTGAATCATAGGTAAGTAATATTGATCTTGGGTAAATGAATAAGCAAATAAGCAAATATGAATTTTTCTTTGACAATATTTTCTTCCTGTCATATTGGAAACTGCATTTGTTGAACTGTAATATAATTTTATTTATTTTATGTTCTAGGAGCAAATTAGTTGAAAAAACTAACAAAGATGTTCCATATGCAGTGGGCATTAGCTTGTTCCTTGAAAAGTTTGCAAGCTGCATCTGTGATATTACGCAACTAACAGCAGCTGGTCGGAGAGATGTGCCACAGCTAGTTGCAGGTGATTTCAACTAATATTTGAAGAGAAGAAAATGCATATATGATAAAGTGATTTTTTGCACTAATTCATATATATGCAGATAGTGAATTTACTGCTAATAGCAGTGTATTAATAATTATATTGCATTGTATTTTATTAATCCCCAGAGCTTGGGAGTGGAACTGCAGCTGTGACTGTCATGGTTTGTGCCATTGGACAGAAATTCTTGCAGGAGCGTGTCAATATTGTGCGAGGGCTGAGGAAAAGGAAGATAACGGCAGACCACTGCCACTGTTTAGTATGTATGCCTTTCTTTCTTTCACTGATTATGTACCCCTTTGAGCTAATCACAAACAATCATTCTCACTTAGAATGGAACCATATGATTATAGTAACAAAATGATAAAAGTTCTCACACCCCTGCAGACACAAGAAGAAGCAGATAACGTTAAAGAGGAATTCCGGATGACGAACTTTGTCGTGTTGACTGGCCATGAGACGCCCTCTGTGAGAGTCTTTTTGGAGTCAGCCTGGCGGAATCAAGACCGTAAAGTCGACCTGGATAAAGTCGTAGAATACATTTACAAGAATCTTAGCTCAAGTGAACCGGCTTCCCTCTCCTCACGGACAGATTCCAAAGCTGCAGGTT